TGGAGAAAATTAGAAATCTACTTTACCATTAAAAAACCTCAGAGAGTACATTACTCTTATATATTAAATTTGACTACAGAAGTTTGTGAACCAGAGTAACTTAAAATCAAAATGTATTTCAGCTGCTGGAAACTTGCTTATTTTCTTATCAACATTTGAAAACATGGATGAAAGCTTTGATACAAAATTTACAGTAAAATCTTCTGATATGTGAAAAGGCAGCTTAAAAGCGTCTGATGTCTAAGGCTGGGGAACATTAATGATTCAGATAACATTTGTTAGGTTACTTTCAACACCATTGTCAATTTATGCACACTGGTAGAATTTGTTCTCTGGAAAATAGTTTTCCCCGCACCCCCACCATGGGACAAAACATTTATTTATTTTTATTTTTTATTTAAATTAAAAAAATTAATTACAGTTGAGATTCAATATTATATTAGTTTCAAGTGTACAGCATAGTGGTTAGACATTTATATAACTTGCAAAGTGATCTTCCTGAGAAGCCTTGCCCCCACCTGAAACCATATATAGTTATTACAGTATTATTGACTATATTCTCTATGCTGTACTTCACATCCCCTTGGCTATTTTGTAACTGCCGATTTGTACTTCTTAATCCCTTCACCTTTTTCACCAGATTCCCTTCACATCTGGCAACCATGAGTTTGTTCTCTGCATCTGAGATTGTTTTTGATTTGTTTATTATGTTTTTTAGATTCTACATATAAGTGGTATAAGGTATTTGTCTTCTTCTGTCTGCCTTATTTCATTCAGCATAATGCCCTCTAGATCTAACCATGTTGTTGCAAATGATGATTCTTTTTGGCTGAGTAATATTCCATTGTATATATGTACCACATCTTCTTTATCCATTCATCTTTTGGTTGGAGCATTTAATCCATTTATATTTAAAATAGTCATTGATTGGTATGTAGTTATTGCCATCTTATTGTTTTCTCATTGTTTTTTGTAGTTCTCTTCCCTTTTTTATTTTCTTGCTTTTCTTTCCTGTATGTTGATGACTTTCTGTAGTGCTGTGTTTGGATTCTTTTCTCTTTGTGCGTCTTGTCGATTTTGGATTTGTCATTACCATGTGCTTCATATATCCCAAGCTATACTTATAGCAGACTATTTTAAATTGATAGTCACTTAAGTTCGAACAATTTCTATAATCATTACAATTTTTACTCATCCCCTCCATATTTGTTTGTCATTATTTTTTTTTACTTGTGTGTGTGTGTGTGTATGTGTTCATGTATCCATTAATTTACTGTTGTAATTACACATGATCATCCTTTTTTCACCTTTTAACCTTTATACTAGCTTTAGTGTTGGTTAATCTACTGCTTTTATTATTTATTTGCCTGTCAGTGAGATTTTTTTTCTTTGCAGTGTCTTCTTATGCATATATATTTCTTTCTTCTTCTTAAAGAAGTCCTTTTAACAGTTTTTTGAAATAATGGTTTGGTGGTGATGAACTCCTTCAGCTGTTTCTTTGCTGGGAAGCTCTTTATCTCTCCTTCGATGTTAAATGATAGCCTTGCTGGGTAGAGTAATCTTGGTTGTAGGTCCTTGCTTTTCATCACTTTGAATATTTTATGTCAGTCCCTTCTGGTCTGCAAAGTTTCTGTTGAGAAATCAGCTGACAGTTTTATGGGAACTCCTTTGTAGGTAACTAAATGCTTTTATCTTGCTACTTTCATATTTCTCTCTTTGTTTTTAATTGTTGCATTTTATTATGATGTATCTTGGTGTGAGCTTCTTTGGGTTCATCTTTTTGGGGACTATCTGTGCTTCCTGAGCTTGTATGTCTATTTCCTTGGCCAAGTTAGGGTGTTTTCCTTCTGGTACCCCTATGTTACAGATACCATTAGGCTTGATGTTCTCACAGAGGTCCCTTAAACTATTCTAACTTTTTTTCTTTTTACTGTTTTGATTGGGTGTTTTCTGCTACCCTAGCTTCCAAATTGTAATTTGATACTCTGTTTCATCTAATCTGCTATTGATTCCATCTAATGTGGCCTTCATTTCAGTTATTCTGTATTTCATTTCAACTGGCTCTTTTTCATGATTTCTATCTCCTTTTTTATTTTCCAATTTCTTTGTTGAACTTCTCACTGAGAGTGTCTATTTTTCCCTTAAGTTCACTGAGCATCCTTATAACCAGTCTGTTGAACTCTTGCCTCCATTTTGTTTCATTCTTTTTCTGTAGTTTTGTCCTGTTTTTCATTTGGCACATGTTTCTTTTTCTCTCCATTTTACCTGCCTCCCTGTGTTTGTTTCTGTGTATTATGTAGATCTGCTATGTCTCCCAGTCTTATTGAGTGGCCTTATGTAGTAGGTGTCCTGTGGGACCCAGTAGTGTAGTCTCCCTGTTCACCTGAGCCGGGTGCTCCAGGAGTGTCTCTTGTGTGGTTTGTGTGTGCCTTCATGTTGTAGTTGAGCCTTGGTTGCTGTTGGCACATCAGTGGATGGGATTGACCATTAAGATGACTAGTGTGACAACTGGCTGTCACTACAGTGGGTGAGCTGTTGTGCAGGGGTTGACCCCACAGAGGGGCTTCACTTTAGTGGGGCTTTAGTGCCTGCCAAGTCCACCCTTTGGGTGCATACTTCTGGCACTAATTGGGTGATGATCTTCTGTGGTCTGAGGCCGGCCAGCAGATGCGTTGGTTTTGGGACCTCTTGGGAGGGACTCTTGTGCAGGCCAAGGTCAGCCACTGTCTGGCCTGGGGCCACCATGTAGGAGCTACATGATTTGTGGTTGTTAGATGCCTGTGCTGGGCTTAGAGGCACCTCAGAATGGTTATGCTTGAACCAAGCCTGGCTACCACTGGTGCTGGGCCCAGGCCTACTTAGCAAGAGATACTGGGCACACCTAGGTCAGCCCCTACTTATTTGGGGTTTGTGAGATTTTAGGAAAGTCTGCAGCATGGGCACAGACCAGCAGCTTGTGTGGATTAGCCTCTGAAAGATGTTTGGGGCAGTGCATAGATTAAGTGGAGTCTCAGGAAATCACCAGGGTGAGGCTAGAGGGAGCCTGGTGTTAGCCCAGTTGATGGAGACTCAGCTTTGGCACCTGCCTGTGCCTGTAGGCTGTGTGGTGGTGATGGCTTAACAAAGTAACAATGGTACCTGCTAGCACTTTAGCCCCAGAGAGAGCTGCCACTGCAGCCCTTCTGCTGAAGCCAGACAGTTCGGTTTCTCTCCATATGTCCTTGATACTTTTCAAGCTGCTGTCCCTTCTCTGCACTTTAAGCAAGTGTTTTTGAGCAAGTGAATCTGTGCTAGGGTCCTTTAAGAGGACACCTTAGTCTCCAGCAGCCCTCCATATCACCAGAGGCAATTCCTGATGATTTTCACAACCAGATGTTGTGGGTACTCCTCTTGCTGGCACGTACTTTGCTGGGATCCCAGTGTGGGGCTAGGGCCGCTTACTCCTCAGGGGGGACTTCTGCAGCTGAGACATCCCTCCTGCTTCTTAACCCAACACATGGGTGTTGGACCCACACATTTTGCATTTTTGCCCTTCCTACCAGTCACATCATGACTTCTTTATATCCTTAATTATAAGAGTTCTGTTCAGCTAGGTGGTTCTCAAGGGTGGTTGTCCTGTAATTTTGTTATAAATTTGATGTGGTGATGGGAAGACGTGAGTGCAGCATTTACCTGCTCTGCCATTTTGACCAGAAGACCTCCTGGAAATAATTATGAACTGGACTACCAGTCATTTCTCATCAACTGTCATTTTTGAAAAGGTTTGCATCTATAGGTTTTATGATTTTGTCTGATATTTGGGATCAAATAACTTATGAGATTATTATGAATAGACTAAAATACTAATTGAATAACTTCATTTTGATACTAACATCTTTTTCTCTGGAGCTACCGGTCATAACTTCACTGACTGACTTTACTAAAGGAAATCCAATTTTGTAAAACAAAAATTTCTCAACTGCTTCTGCTTTAGTACTGGCTACTGTCAAGAAAATTTTAGATAAAAGAGAAGATATCACATTCCTTATAAATTTCATGAGTCAGCATTAGGGTAGAAAGTGATGATGAATGGCATTCTTTGCTGTTTAGTCTACCTTTTTAGATTTTTTTAAACAAGATCCTTAGATATCAGGGGCAAACATGTTGAAGTTAGATCCATATCACAAAGTAGCAAGCTAACTGATTTTGAAAATTTCTTTTATCTACTGCAGTAGCTATCAATCTTGTAAAATTTTCCTCTTTGTATTGTTTTTACAAATAGAGTCTTGATATCTATTATTTTGTAAAAAATATTTATATAAAGGTTTTAATAACTTTGCTAATCAATGATTTATTTATTGATGCTATTTTATGCACAAAGGTAACTTGTCTGAAAAGTAACTTTTTTAGTCACAAGGGTCATTTTATGCATATCTAGTATTTTATCTACAGTAATTATTTACTTCTATATGGTACTTTATTCATAGTTGTATCTTTTTGTTTGGGAGGTTATTATAAAATGATGAAATTTTATCTGTGGGTGGGAAAAACTGATTTCTTATATCTGGTATAAATACTTTTATTTGAACATCCAAATACACCTTTATCAGTGAACCAATCAATTTCATAGCTGTATCATAGAATCCAGCTTGAGTTTCATCTCAATTTGCTAACTATTTTGGTAAAAATATCCTCTAAAAATTTAACAGAAAAAAATCCAAGTTCATTTTTTGGTGGTAAATGAATGATGACTAGTTTACTACGTTCAGTTTTTGTTTCTTTATCCTGATGGTATACAGGTAATACTAGCACTCAGCATCTTCATATCAAATGCTTATCAAAATGCTTAGTTAAAGCATTTATCAAATCCTTCCCTTACCCAGGCCTATATTTTACTTTCTTTTGCTCTTAATTTTTTTGCTCAGTATTGTATGAATTATCTTATAGGACACTATGTTACGCTTTAAAAAATACTTTATTTTTCAAGGGTAGTAAGCATAGTTGTATCAGGTATAGAGACTTCAGTGCTCGTCCTGGTGAGGTGGTGATGAAGATTTGGAAGTACTGGAGTTATTTCGAGAAAACACCTTTGACAGAGCTGAAGATACCTTTGACAGCATCTTAGATCCTTGTTGGGAAATACTGGGTTTGGAAGTTTCTGTGGATAAAGCAAAAAAAGTATATAGCTATTGTATTAGATATTTTAGTATTATAGTCATACTAGAGCATTGATGATTTAGAATTTAGAAATTGACATTTAAAAAATACTTTATTGGTTTAAAAAACAAAAAGTTTCTTTTTATTTGATCCTTCCAACACTTCTCTGAAGGAAACAGGAAGAATGCTGTTTCCATTTTTGGATACTGAATCTTGGTGAAGTCAAATACCTTTCCTAAGATTATGTGAGTAGCCAAATTGGGGATATGGTCCAGCTTTCTAACTCTTGTGGCATCATTATACCTACTGCACTTTGATGCTTCTCTAGTCATGTGTACAAAAAATGCCTTCCTTATTTTCTAGCAGAAAACTGTGTGAAAAAGCCTGATAAGCTAAACTCATGTGGGGAAGTAAATTTCAACTCTATACAGTGAGAGTGTCTGTTTCAGAGTGCTCAAGTGAAAGCAGACATGCACTAAAACGGCCATCATTTCTCACCTATTTTGGGTAAGTTTTAGGTTGACTAACTTATAGTGATTTTTTTTTGGTCACGTGAGATAAGAGTATCCATTTGAATTCATTTTTCTACACCACTTATTCAGCACATGGGCTCTTACAGAATATGCTTTAGCAAAATTATTTTAAATGTAATGATAGAAGTGAGCATTTATGTACTTTTCTGAAACTTTATGATAGGATGAGATAGGATGTGAAAACACACAGACAGCAAAAGCCCATGTTTTCTTAATCCCAGTACATGCCAAAATCCTGTACCTCTTACAGTTACCTAAATGTATCCTTTCTAGCCAGATAATTTTCTATGGTTAAAGCTAAAATAGTTAATAGTAAATTTAGCTATAAATAAAGAAAAAAGTTTAGTCTTTTTAACTGTGCTATTATTTTTTAAACGACCTAAGTGTTAAAAATGAAAAGGCCACAATCTGCAGTAAATAAGACAAAAGCATGGCTGAAAGAGAAAGATGTACATGCTGAAAGAGCAAGATAAAAATTTTACTAACATGACTGAAGCATTGTTGCAAGATTTCTGAAGTTCTCATCGGGAGGTAAAAAGAGTGTCTATTTTTGAAACAGTGGTCTTGTTAAAAATGCAGATTGCTAGGTACTACTCAGAGTTGCTAACTTAGCCAGGTTGGAGAGGGTCCTGGAATCTTCATTGTTAAAAGTATCCTGTCTGGGTGGCTCTAATGTAGATAAAATCCTGGAAACACACAGGGGTCACTGCCCCAAATCTGCATTCATTATTTAATTCCTGCATCTTGTTCAAGACTCATGGGTGGCTGATGTCCTAGTGTACATGAGGCTCATCCCCAGAGAGAACAGTGAACCCTTATCTTTATCAGTTAATTGTTCTGTTTCACAGCAAAACTATAGGCTATCATTGGCCATTACCCAATATGGGCCTCTTTCTGGGATGCAATGGCAACTGTATGGAACCACAATGTGGAGGGAAGAAAGAATGTAGGATCAAAGTCAGAAGACCTGTTTTTGAGTCCTAAAAGCTGTACATTTTTTGACAGTGTAACCTCAGGCAGTTATATACTTCCATTTTCTCTTTTGTAAATTAGGGCTTTATTTGCAGAGGGGGCATAGTATGGTGTAGGGGATATGGAAAAGTTTTTTTCAGTCCACAAAGCATTCCACAAAATAAGCATTTGACTTATTTGATAAAATTTAAAGATCAGGAATTTTCACATAAAACTTCCATCTTTAGTTTCTTTTGAAAAATGCTAAAACCTGAATTGAAAGACCTGGCAACAATCCAGCATGCCAATGATTGGGCCTGAGTAGCAGCTGCCTCCTTTCGATGGGACACGCCATCTCCAGTGGACCATTGACCCCTAGCATAACCTACTGTTCTTATTTATTTATGTTACCTACCTGTCTCCTGTGAACATTGGAGTGTGTGAACTATGATTATGTTGAGTGAGCTTAGGCTTTGAAGTTGGGCAGATCTGTGTTTGAATCTCAGCTCAGTAGCTTACCAGCTGTGGAGTGACTTTGAGCAAGCTACTGTCACTTTACTCCTTAATGACACTCAATTTTTCTTTTTAATAAAATGGGGATAGCTATTACCTAATAAAGGTTAGTTCCATTATCTATGATCCTCCCTTTGGTTTGAGTTAAAGTAAGAGGTCTGCATGATAAACTGCAAATTGCTAGACATATAAATAGTAAGACTATTACTTCAATCTCATATTGATAATATTAGGTGTAAATGGGAGGAGCCACTCATTCCAGGAGGCGTGTGAAAAGGTTAGTATATTTCGTACCTGAAGTTACTTCTGTTGAGGTATTCACACTGCCATGAATATTCTTGTGTCCTTCAAAGATGGTGGTACACTGCCAAGACAAAGCAAAGCACTTAACTTAGTCTTTTGTTAGACACTATTTGCTAGAGATGCCTAGAAATCCTCAGGAGACCTAGTGCAACCATTGCAGCATCTTTCATAATATCTGTGCTGTACAGTCTCCAAGACAGTCTCAGAGAATTATTTTCTGAGACATAGGCTCATATATATTTTTTTCCTTTGCCAATTATGATGCCTAGGATTGACCTTGGAGACCTTGGCTACCATCAAATGATGACCAAAGTCACAAAAAATGGCAGCCCCTGCTTTAGTTAAATTGGAATAATTTATAAATTACTCCTCCTTCCTTTAGGTTGGAATTATGTATAAACTAGAAATTATTTTCTAATAATAGAGGCAATGATAGGAGAAAAAGAAAATGGATGTAAATTAAATAACTCCAATTCCCTTTTATGGAAATCTTAGCTATTTTGAGGTCTAGAGCAATTAAGTAACTGTGTGGACCTGGTAGGACAGGGAACATGGCTCAGATACTGGCTTTACTCTGTAGGCCTTTATCGCCTCTTTGAATGCAGAGGCAGCAATTTTCTTTAGAAGGGCATAAAATAGTCTGGGCCAGATACCTGGGCTTCATAGTAGATATACTATTATGCTAGTAATTAAAACAGGAAGTGAAAACTCAATGAAGTAAGGCCTAAATACATGCAATGTAAAATGTGTTGTGTATAGATTATTAAAAGACCACCAGATATTCTTATAAGGGTTTACCATAGTACCTCCAAGAGGACTTGAGGCAGCTTATGTATTAAGATATTTCAAACAGGATACCTGAGGAGTAGAATAGAGCAAAGACTATCTAAAGCACTGATTCTCATCATTGGCTGCATAATAGAGTGATCTGTGGAACTTTTTTTAAAAAATATGAATCCCTGGATCTCACACCACCTATTGAATTGAAACCCCTGAGAGTGGGGCAGGTACTGATATTTAAAAATAAATTCCCACATAACTATAATGTGTAAGAATTAGAGTTGAGAATCCCTGATCCAAAAGCTGGGAGCAGATGTTACCATGCATCTGAGATGAGTAAATATACTTAAGTTCTGCTGAGAACATCTTTCTTTCTGTTAGATTATAGAGCATTTGCTGTCACTTCATGGACATTTTTATAATTACTGCTGTAAAGCTTTTGTCTGAAAATTTCAAAATCTTGGCTACGTTGGTGTTGGCATCTCTTGTCCTTTCCCTTAAAAGCTATAGACAATTTTTTAGTTCTTTGTATGTTGGGTAATTTTGAGTTTTATCCTGGGCATTTTAAACAATTTATGAGATTCTAAGAATGGTTAAAACCTCTGGAGAAGGTTGTTTTTTTGTTGGTTTGTTTTTGTTTGTTTGCTTAAGTAGGTAATTATTCAGTTTCAGATCACACATTCTACCCTGCTTTCTATTGCTGTAGTTCCAATATAAATTCAGTTTTCAAAGTCTTGGCAGTTTTTTGTTTGTTTGTTTGTTTGTTTTTAGTATCTTAGTGTATGTACCACTATTGAAACTATAATTTAAGTTCCCAAAGCCTTTTGTCTATATATCATGTCAGTTTCATGAATGCTCAGCTCAGGAGAGACTTTACAAATTTGTAGAGGATCTTTCTTGAGATCCCTTCTCTGATTTCTTTCAGTGTCTCTAACTCTTAGCAGTTCCCTTTTTGTTTCTGTGGCTACAGTGTTGTAGTTCTACTCTACCTGTGTTCTGTCTCACACATCGCAAGACCGCATCCACGTCTAGGGTAAAGTGACTAGAGAAAGCAGGGAAAAAAAGTAGCAGGTTTTCTCCTAGCGTTATTGCTTGGGTTGCTGGAGGCCTTTTCCTAATTGCTCTGGTCAGAGAGAAGGATTTTCCCTCACAGTATGAAGTGCTCAGCGGCCTCCGCTGCATTGCCACGCAGCATCATGACTGAAACTTGCCTCCAGGCAGAGCCAAAAGAGAGAAAAAAAAGGGGGGGGGGCTTCCCCACTTCCCACTTTACAGGCACGTATTCCTAATTCTGGTAAGCGAGCAACGGTTTCTCTTGGAACTTGATTATGTTCATTTCCTCTATGCAATTCCAGGATTTAAACTGCCCTGGCTCTAAGCTAGAAGATATGGCAGGAAAAAACCCAGGAAACTCATCATGGTATTGGTTGGTCTTTGAGTTCGGATCTCCCTCCCCAGACTCCTGCTATTATTCATTTTTCAGAATCCTCAGTAGTTATCCACAGTAGGTGTCTAGCTGTAATCAACGAGAGAAAAAGTGTGGCATGTGCTTACTCCACCTTACTCAGAACTAGACTGGCTAACAACCATAACCATAGTTTCACCATGGAAAAAGCAGGAAGCGAGTTAAGGGCAAGGAGCCAGAAGGCTCCAGATTAGGCAGGAATTCAGCTTGGCACAGGGACTCACCTGTCAACAGATCACCTTTTTTTATACCCACATGGTTTTACTTGGAAAATACAGCCTAAGTGGAGCCTGGGTTCATTCAATAGATGCTTACATCCATCTATTAGGTTAGGTTGAGTGAGGAACTAACCCAGCCTCTTTGGAGGTTTGGAAAAAGTTAAGCATGAGTTGTAAGATTTGGTTCTGAAAATTGCTCTGATAATGACAAGTGACTGGATAATTGATGGATTGTGTGTGCATGGGGGTGGGGAGACTCAAAGGTGGGATTGACTGGAACCAAGAAACAAGTGATAAAAAAGAAAAAATAGAATGATCTGTAGGTTCAGCCCTCACTGGAAACTTTCTGAAAAGGATTAGGAAAGGAGAAATTTTCTGAATTTACATTGGAGAGTACTGGTCTTTTTGGAGAGCTGCCTTTAAACGCTCAGTTCTTAGGAATACAGAGCACTAGATGGGACCGGCATTCATTTCCTACAAGCCATTCTCCTTCATTTCTGAAGGTTCTGTTCCCTTCCTGCCTCGACCAAGTCCCTCACTCACTTGGGTCTACCTGCCTTAGGCAGCTCCAAGTGACTCACTCCTCCTAAGATTTTCTCCAGAAACTGCAGTAACACAGTTGATGGAATTGAATTTAGGTGTTAGGTAGGAACAGTGGCTTATTCTGTGCACTTCAGGAAGGAATGCTAACTTAACTCTAAGGTGCGAATTTGATTAAGGGATTTCTTGGGTACCATGGACAGGTGTCAGCCAGGCAGAGAGATGGGCGAGCATGAAGAAACTGTGAGTATAGGAACGCTTCCTGCTGTCCCATAAATTGCACCACCCAGTCTCTGATTTCACCTTGAAAACTGGGCTATTTTCAATTAGGTACCATGTATACCAGTTAGAGGCTATTGAGAAATATTTACCTTAACACTGTTTGAATACCCTAGCTTTTGTTCCTGAGAACTTTCTGTAGGGAAAGAGGGGAAGAGAAAATATTATTATTATTATTATTATTATTATT